CAGCTACTGTAACTGTAACATTTAAATGTTTCTTCAGTTAATGGTTTATGTAAATTCAGTGTGTTAGTTGAATGGGTGGGCAGTACTGTGTCATCTCGCTGTAATTTGAGCCCCTTATAGAACAGTTCTAGTTTAGGGACACGGTGACATGACTAATAAGTCATACAAAATAAGGAACACAAGCAGTCAGATGATCAGACAGGCCAAACACCATGCTATTGTAGTTGCACGTGCACACATTGTGCACAAGACATTCATTTTTGTCCCACTGAGACTGAGCAGAGCGGTCAGTTGTTTCCAGCACAGCTTTCTGCAGCACAGCATCCCTATCCTGTTTATCCCATACACGCTGGCAATTAAATCACTTCCTTTCTGCAGGCGAGTTGGAAGGAAGTTTGGTAGCAAAAATCTAGTTATACTGTAAAATCACAACAGCAAATATTTAAAGCCTTTGGGTAAGTTGAAACAGAATATTTCAACAGAACAGATATTTTAATAACAGAAAGTATGGATTTTTACTTTAATTTGTGTGTTGTGAAGGCATTATTTGATTCTTCTGTTGTTTTCTGAGTCCACCTTAAGGCAATCGAAAGTGAAACCTGAAATCCCATATAACATTGCGTATATCTGTGGCTCACTGCAGAGTGGGTTGGGGGTTACCTCATAATTATGACAAACAGGTATGGCAGGGGTTTAGGCAGCAGCAGCACTTGGGCAAGCGTGGATGGCAATGTAATTTCTACCTCTCACCCAGGCGCCATAATTATCAATATTGTCTGTTTACAGAATGAATATTAATGCCCGCTCCTCTCTGAAGAATGAGCACAGCAGCATCTTTAACAGTGGAATATCAGAGCATGTGATTGACTGCAAGGTCACACAACTCTCTTATTAGATTCCACTTTGATGACGGCAGGTCCATGGTCGTGGTGGGGGGGCTCCCAGCAACTCCCTGCTTGTTTTCAAACGCCTTTCCTTTTTTCCCTCATTATTGAATACCCGATGACTGATTGCTAATCTGCTCATCACACGGAAACAGAAAGAAGCTCATCCTGAAACTCGTCATTATTTAATGTGTTCTGTGCTAAATCGAGTGCTTGCAGGCTCGCCGGGACTTTTTGTGGGCCATCAGCAGTTTGAAGTGGATATTTAGATATGCATACGTGTGTGTGAAATCACACTCAGAGGATGGTGTTTGTAATACGCACCATCAGGAGGTTCTCTTAGTCACAAATTCTTTTGTTTTTCAATAGGAGTCCTAGTATACAAAAAAATGCATACAATTTCCTTTGTGTTTACAGAATATAACACTTTTTTAGAGACGAGATTTCCTGTCTTCCACATGACTAGTTTTCATGCCGCGTTATTAAGAAGGAGCCAAGTTATCCACTTATTATGGATCAAAAGTATAGTGCTGAGTTTGTACCTACTCAATCAGTGGTCCAATTTATAGCCACTTTTAAGGTGTGATTTACCCCCTTAAGTTCTAATCCTCATTTTGATTATTGGGTTTTCACTTTTAAGAAGCTGTAAAGCTGAATTACCAGCTCCAGTAGGACGTGCAAGACATGCATATTTGATTTTTTTCTTTCCTGGAATTGTCTGAGGTAAATCATTAGCTGAAATGTGATTTACTCTCCCAGGTTGTTAATGACATTCTCAACCATTCATTTTCAAATATGCACACCACTCCACTCCCCACATAGATTTTGTAATAAAAATATCACAGTTACTGTTTAATTGATAATATCTAGGGAAGCAAATCAATCACTTGTGCATTTATTTACATGCAGCATTGCCGTATTACTGTCAATTACTGCGCTGCGAGTGATCACTGCTTTCTGAATAATCATCTGCCTCCGTCTTTTGACAGAATACCAACGGCGGGTGTTGGTCGCGATTGGCCTGACAACGTCTACTTCACCTTCCAGTTCTATCGCTTCCCACCAGTCACATCTCAGCAGCTCAAACTACTGACCAGTGACAAGGTTCAACAGAAAGCTAGCGATCCCCTTCCCTGTGTCCTGGCCTCCATCAACAAAGACGGCGCTGTCAACTCTGGTAAGGATCCACGGCTGCAAAAAAAATGCTGTTCATTTCCTCACTGAAACAGAGAGGCAAAAGTTTGAATGCACTTTGAGCTTCTTAAAGGCAACTTTTAAACTTTCTGTTTTTTTTCAGCTTTTGACTTCCATTTGTATTAGCGTATTATGAAACTAAAAAGACTTGAAACTTTCTTGAGATAACTAATCTATCACAGTCAAACATGTCGAATTATGTTATCAATGCACAGTTATACGGTTGAGAACACTAACTGACAAATTCTTGCTGTCTGGTGCATTCATGTCTATGTCAGAATGTGGAAAAATGCATTTATCTATATAAAAACACATTGTATGTCCACTCTGGTAAGTCCCTGCCATTGATTACAATCATTGTTGGAGTCGTGTCTCCGTTACGGATTCTGGATATAAGCCGGGCTGTGATTTATTGTACTGCTCTCCAGGTTTACATTGTAGAATCAGTGTCTACAAACTGCAAGCTCGTTCCATGATGGTCCATGATGTTCTCTGGTGCTGAGGCACTTCTCTTTCAATCAACCGAGCGGGCGCTGATTGATGTCAAGTCTATTCATGTAGCAACTAATGAAATGGAAGAGATATTACAGCTTCTGACAGAGCGTGATATTGAACACACAAACAATCCCCCCCTCCCTCGTTCCTACGCCTACCCATATTCTCCATTCCCCAGACATACACTCCGGTCTAACTCCGTCAATATTTCTCTGTCTGTCTCTGCATCTCCCTCAGTCTATATCATCCAGTGTGCACTTCCACAAAGCCCTCCTACATTCAGACAAATCCTTCTATATATTCTAAGGCTGGGAGCCTTTCCACCTATTTACTCATAACTGCTGAACTACTAAAGCTTCCCTTCCGTATTTGAAGGATTAAGCGCTACTGTTATCATTTAACAGTTTATTCGCTCACAGCTTCTCTTAGTGTTTAAGCACGTAATTGTTTCCTTAGGAATCAAAATCTGAGTAATCTGTATTTTCCTTTACTTGCTGAACCTCCAAAAAGAGTCATCTTGATGTACAAAAGAGAGCTACCCTTTCTGAGATGTTATTATAGTTTGTCATGAAAACATTAGCTAAACTGAGTGGATCCAGAGGAAATTCTGCTGTGATATTAAATTGTATTTATTTTTTTATTTTTTTGGGTCATTACAGACTGATATGAGAAAGACACAACATCAACATTTGGGAATTATCAACATTTCTAATTGCTCCCAAAATGACTAGTCTCATCAGTTGAATATATCAAGTTACAAACATAGTCTGAACATGCATTTAAAGACCTGGAGGTTCTCTGTGTCTGATTTTATTGGGAGAGATGCTGATTTTGTTTAATGGTATTGATGTTTAAACGCGAATTATATAACCAGGGTATTAAAAGATAAATAGATGGTGAGAGGAGGAGAGAATGAGTGAAGATGGAAAACAAACATTGTTTTGCTTCTCATTGCTAAATAAAGCAGAAAAGACAATGGAAAACGCCTGTGTTTAAACAACTAAATAATAACTATTTAAATAAAAATTCCCTGTTTTCCCTGTTGGATTTTTGTCACGACAGCCTTACTTGGTCTGGTATGACCGCTAGCTCATAGTGGCTGATGTTAGCAAGCTTTAGATAGATGTTCCTGTAAAACTGACACTGCTGTCACTTTGCTGACTTTATGACTCTTATCTGCTCTCACCTTTTAGTATGTCACAGATAAACATTTCAGGTTTTATCAAAAATAAAACAAGAGACGAACACAGTACCTCAACAGGAGACACAATTGTTTGTGGTCTCAATCTGCTTGATTTCAGTCAGGTCACCTAATGATAATGTCTATGAAGCAACTGAGTCAAGACAATCTTGGGAAATTAGGGGCCACTCAGTGTGCTATTATCCTAATTGCCACTTGCAGTCACAGTGATTGCTGTTCAGTAAAGGTGATTTAGTCTTGATAATAAGCTGCACTAATATTTTCATATAGGCAATGGAATAAATAACTGAAGAAAGGTTTATGACTGGAAATCTGGTCTAGGCAAAAACGTAACTGGTGGAATTTCCTTCTTATAGCAATACTCAGTAGTCGCAGCTACACTCTATCAATCCGTTGTGACGGTTCCTCCTTCAAGAGCAGGTGTAGTTCATTAACATTGTGTGTATGATTGGCTCCACTCGAGTCACTGTACTTCAGTAGATTTAAAGTCATGATTTTGACTTTCACTAAGTTCTTCTGTGACAGCCTTCCTGTTACTTTTCTCAGGGTCATAGTGAAGGTGTGTGACCCAGAAACAGGTAAAATGATATTCTTCTGTAAAACATATAGCATTGAGTTGATAGACTGTTGTCTGTATTTAGTGCTTTGTGAGTGTTCGTACCCTGAGGCAGTGCTACCTGCTACTCCCTCCATGCGTCATTTTAGAGATGAGCTGCTGGTATTCAGCGTGGCCTCGAGAGAATATAAAATAAGCAGTAATATTTTGTGGGGTTTTTTTTGTTCTTCCCCCCCCCCCCC